AGCCGCCAACGCGGTTTCGCTCGGCGCTGCTTCCACCGCTCCGGGCGCTACATTGTCACGCCCTGGCAGGAGCACGGCAACGTTCGCGCGTTTTGCGTGCCCACCCTGATATAACCGAGATCGGTCATCTTGTGCGTTGTGTCTCTGCACCTCTCCACGCCCTGAGAGCGCTGATCGTATGCTGGTAATGTTATGTACCCGATTGCCATCCATTTTGTTCTTGGTCGTGCAGGTTTTGACGCCGTTTCCACCGCTCCGGGTGCTACATTGTCACGCCCTGGCAGGAGCACGGCAACGTTCGCGCGTTTTGCGTGCCCACCCTGATATAGCCGAGATCAGTCATCTTGTGCGTTGTGTCTCTGCACCTCTCCACGCCCTGAGAGCGCTGATCGTATGCTGGTAATGTTATGTACCCGATTGCCATCCATTTTGTTCTTGGTCGTGCAGGTTTTGACGCTGCGCCCCATACAAGTACCGCCCTCTCCGGCGCTCGTCATGTATACCGGCCCGTCCCCTTTCCTACGCGCATTTTGTGTCCGAGCATCGCATCGTATGCTGGTGATGTACCCGATTGCCATCCATTTTGCTCTTACTTGGTCGTGCAGGTTTTGACGTCGCGACCCCACACAAGTACCGCCCTCTCCGGCGCTCGTCATGTATACCGGCCAAAGCCGTGTAAAATGTAGCAGCAGGCTTCTGCGTATCGTAGTGTCCGTCCCGTCTCTAATGCTTCGTTCATACTAGCCACACCGGAATTGACGTCTCCACTCGCGAAAACTTCCTTTCTACTTCTACGCATCACAACGTCTGTCTCATTGCGTATCTCTGGTGCTCACCGCTGCGGCCCGTCCCAAGGGCGTTTATCCTAGGCTAATGTTCATTCGTCGGTGTCTGTGCATCTTCCAGCCCAGAGTACACTGCTTGCCGAGTGTCTTCGTGACCGATAATGTACTTGTACCCCAGGGTGATGGCGTTCTCGTTTCATAAAGGGTGGCCTGGAGGGCACTAGGGTCGTAGATGTCGCCGGAATACAATAAATATGCACGATACAATAGCGCTACGGGCTATGCAGAACTGTGTGCAGGCGTTGTGCAGCGGACATATAAACTCATCAGCAAGTTGTCGAGGCGGACGACACAACGGGCCAAGGCTATGATTCGACCCTCCCTTTCCCTTCTCAGACACTCCTCTAGTTGCAGCGCCTGACGGAGTTCTTGGTTCTCTGTGTAAAGAGACATGCAGGACTGGCAGGTGGGATGCTGTGTCGTGTACATGTAGGATGGGATTGAGGTCATGTCGAATGCCACTAGGCCGCTTGCATGTTCATAGGAGTTCAATTTATTACCTACAGCCGTCTCAACTGTAGGAATAAACAACAGTATGTGTCAAAAATGCGTACCGTCGTCTGCGATGACGTTTGATACACCAGCGGCAGCCCCGGGGTTTTGCATGGACATCACGACGTGATCAACGTATGACCAGAGTCGCTGGGTTGATTTGCGCATAGAGAAAGAATTCAGATGGCAATCTATCTGCTGCGACACCGAGCGAGACGTACCAAGATGGAACTTGCAGGGTGCAAGGGGGATGAGGGAGACGAGGCCAGAGCGACCGTTGAACGCGAGGCCCGTGAGAAGTGTACAGTCCGCCGTGATTGGGCGGATAACGAATGTTGGAATTTATGGCTCCTACAACGAAGGTGTTGCCGAGAGTATATGCCCAGTACGGCGTCCATCTATCTGGTTGAACATGAGTATTGCTGAACTCTGTTCATGAGCGACAAACATTTATGTCCTCGATCCATCCCGCCTTTGTATTCCTATTGCCTTCTCACATGTCGTACCGCTGTAATATAACACATGGAGTTTATCCGACTTACAGTAGCAATTGTGCTCCGCGTTCATGGACCGTATACGATGTGATCCTGTAGTTTGCGAGAAGCGATCACCATTTTCCAGGTTCCAGCTCCTCAATCTTGTAACACGCGTGGCTTCGTGTCATGCACTAGGCAACTGAACCACGCATATGGAAGCTGATAGTACTGAGCATGTACAACCTCTGCATGGCGGTCGTGATTGTAGTCGTCGTTCAGTGTTGTAGACGATGACAATACATGTCGGTTTCGATCCGCATACACGTGATGAAACTTGCGGAACCAAATTTGATTCCGAGCGCATTTACTTCCGCCCACCTCTCCACAGCTTTGCCCGCTCGCTTTCACTGTCCACGCATCGCGCGTTGCTTTGTGAAACTTGCTTATATTACTCATGAGCTGTCAGTATACCCAGCTACTCCTACTTCTATCCATGGAGATCCTCGTTTGCTCGCGCTGTTCACGCATAGCTCGTCGTGGGGAAGAAAGTGGGTTCAGGACGGAGCTGTGACATCCAACGTTCCGATGCCCGCAGACTCCCAGCCTCGGTAACTTCTAGATCAACTACCCTATTCTCATGTGCTTATCAACATTCGCAGATGAGTCACAGCTATGCCTTGCACGGTGTTCAAATCAAACGAGACAGCCCCACTGGCTGCGGCTTCCGCTGTTCGTATAGTCGCGCGCGTCAGGTGAGGTCCCGATGTTACACGAATCACGTTGTACCCATGGTATACTGGTATCTTGCTCCCTATTTCCTCATGCTTATCGCTACTCCCAGATGAGCTCTTGGTGTTCTGTCACAACTTTCATTCCTATCAAAAAAACGCGATGGGCTCTCACGACGACAAACCATCCCGCGAAAACGGTATGCCAATATTTCGCTACCGATTTCGTTATGCTCATTGTTACTCGCAGACGAGCTCCGCGCTTTCTGTCAAGCCCTGCATGCATACGGAACGCACGCGACGGGCTATTGCGACGAGTGTACGAACCACCACGCGAAAACGGTACGTCGATATTTCGCTTCCGATCTCGCTATGCTTATCGCTACTCGCAGATGAGCTCTTGGTGTTTCTTCACGCCTTTCATTCCTATCAAAATAATGCGATGGGCTCTCACGACGACAAACCATCCCGCGAAAACGGTATGCCAATATTTCGCTACCGATCTCGTTGTGCCCATTGCTATTCGCAGACGAGCTCCGCGCTTTCTGCCAAGCCCTGCATGCATGCGAAACGAACGCGACGGGCTATTGCGACGGGCTATTGCGACGAGTGTACGAACCACCACGCGAAAACGGTACGTCGATATTTCGCTTCCGATCTCGTAATGCTCATCGTAATCTTGTTATCTTAACAATCACGGCATGCTGGTTCGCCATTGCCGGCTGTCCTTGCTCATCTGATGAAGATATCCCATTCAATTCTCGACATACGGCATTATGGACAGATCGGAGCAATATTAGTCGGCAGTCACGGCGTCGACGTCTTTGCCGAACCATATCCCATAAAGGCGGACAAAGCCAGCCTCGATATCCTGGGTAGGCTGTTTAGTATAAAGCGCAACGATGGAATATGGGACTAACCAGATAGCCTTGGTACAGAGCTCCAAGATGCTGGAAAGCGTTTGCATGCGAGAGGACGCGTAATAAATACTCGCGTACGGACAAGTGGCAAGAAGTTCGGAGGTTGTCGTAGTTCGTAAGATGGAACTCAAGTGTTTTCCTATACGCCTGGTAACGATCGGCTATATGGTCTGCGCGACGAAGGTACGCGATGAGTGCTCTGGCCTGTGCAAACTCAGTTGGCGTCATACTGATTCCAACAACAGTGACGTACCTCCCTGTACCGGTTGTCCCACGACATGAATAGTGGATGCGCAGATGGGTGAGCTAATATGCGACCCTCTGCCGCATTTTCCCTCCCCCTCGACGTGAGTACCCTTGCAAGGTATTGCATACCTCTTACTCGCATGCCCGCTCCCTTCCTTTCCTCTTCGTCTGATTCATCGTCCGATTCGTCCTTACCTTCTTCCTCAGCGCCAATTTCGTGCGATGCTTTCAAAGCCTCGAGCCACCGCTGATGCGCATGGACAAATCTTGTGAGAACGCGCTGACGAGACATATCAGGAGCCTGGATGTCATTACAAGACGCACCAGGCACTTACCTCCTCCGTGTCGGCGGGAAGATTCACACTTGAAGCGGCAAGCACCCATCGAAGGTACGTCTGTGGCCCGGTGTTGAAAAAAGTCCGGTCTTGCTGGTAAAATGCGAGATGCTGAAGCAATTGCATGTGTAGACCATATAAGTCCCTTTTTCGATCATCACGCAGCAGGAGCGAGGCGAGAAGACAGGCCTACGGGGCAAGTAATATGTGAGGATGCATGAAACACGGAATGGGTGCTGACAAACGTTCAGACTCTTCAATCCGCGAAGCTCAATCCGATTCGCGTCAAGACGGTGCCATCGAACGAGTGCACTCTCCGGTGGCTGAACATTCACCGGCCTAGGTACAGCCTCCGTACTACGAGGCATCGTCGTGGTGTTGGAAAAGTAAGGAGTGAGTGCAGGACGACTTGCGATATTTTTCTTTTCGGAGCCTCACGTGCGCATTGTCAACAGACGCTATAGCCTGTTTCGGGGCATGTCACAGCACCTGGAACCGTCACAGCGCCTAGATGCCTGCACCACATTGGTCGGTTGTCATGCATCGCTTCGCGCTATCTCGCATCTGACCGAAGTATGCTATCTGCTGATGAGTCGACACGCGCTAAATCTTTGTTACAGGTCCGACATCTCAAGGGCGGCCGAAATACATGGCGGCCTCGCCGACCCCGCGACGATCCCAGATATCGTCCATGTCCATGTCGAACGGGACGGTCACCGTGCGGATCAGTGGCTCTGGCTCGACGTCCGCGTCGAAATCTATTGCGATGCCTGACCACCGCGTATACAATATCGCAAAATGCGGAAGTAACACCTGGGAGATGAGGAGTGAATGCCGAATATAATCGATACTCACAGCGAACTTACGCGATCAACCCAATACCCGTTTCTTCCACAGACATCAAGCCTTACATCACCCAGGGCTAGCACGTGCTGGATATAGTTGAGCGGCGAGACGCCGCAGCTTCTATGTAAGCGATGAAAATTCATCATGTGCCAGTTGGTATTGAAGCAATCGTCAAAGGTGTGGAGGCGAGAGGGAATCTTGAGGAAAGCAAGGAGGTCTTGTGCCTGCATACAACATCAATCAGGGAATGCAACGACAAGTACGGCTTACATCAGTCCGTCGTTCGTCCCAATCGTAAAACCAAGGATTCGCTACGGTCTGGCAGTAACTGCCCCGCGGATCTGGATGCTGGCGGTTGACAGTCTGCAACGCTCGGCCGGCGTCAAAATCATCCGGCAAAACGACATCCGTGCGGCTCAACAACGGTGCACGGTTAGGGTCAATTTCCTCGCCACTCCAACGGGTGTAAGCCTCTCGAAAGTGTCGGACCATGATCTCCGGCGTGTAAGTTGATCGCGGTGATGCGATGAATCAGGGTACTAACCTGTTCGTTCTGTTCACCACCCAGGGCAACCTTCCCAAGCACGAAAATATAGCGAAGATATGTCTCTGGCTGCGTGGCAAAAAATCGATAATCGCGATGAAATTGACGAATATGCTGGAGTACGATCTTGCTGTGTCCGTAGATGTTCTTTTTTCTGTCGGGTACCGACAAAAACGAAGCAAATAGATGCGCCTTATTCAGGTACGAACCTTGAGCGTGGCGGATATACCAAATATGGCAGCTCACCATGACAGTCATTAGGTGCATTGTGTGCTCCTCCTCTGCGACAAAATCTTTGTTGCTGCTACCAGGCGCTCGAACATGGTGGCACTGGGACATCGTGCTTCACAAAAGCAGGACGGCGCCGCGAAGGGGGGAACCAAGGAGGAGGGTCACCGTGACGCCTTGTTGTTTAAGGGCCGGGAGTGATCGGGCGAAGGCGGTGTTATCGCCCGAAATCACGCTGCCCCCTAATCATCTCCTGATAAACCGTTGAAACGCGTGACAAGATTTGGAGCAACCTTGTGCAACCTTGCGTTGACTTGGTTCGACCCGTGCGCTGGGTACCAGCCGACAGTGTTTCCTCTCACCACGATGGACGCCGACACTGTAAGCATCTCCTGAAATCTTTTTGTATACAAACTGTGATGGACGTTCAGAATAACCACGGCCACGACGGGCAAAACAAGGACACGCATATTGCGACGACGTCGCAAGACGTATGTAGCACAGTTCGTCACTAATAAAATACAGGTGTATCTAAATCCCGCGTTTGGGCCATCAGGAGCATCAGGGAAGTAGGACGAACGAAATCCGCACGCGTACAACGAGTGCTCGCGTTTCGCGTCCCACCTGGAAGGTTGGCGGAAAGCACGGGGACACAGCACTCCTTACTTACTCTCCGCTCAGGTACTTGAACAAGGCAATGAAGGCAAGGCGTCGCGCGGGGTGACTCAAGCCGCTAGATCGTGTAGTAAGGTATGACTACGTGCGCAGGAACTTGTAGCAACAACTGAAGTCAATCACGCATCTAGAGTGATACTGCCCGGGCTACAGACACCGAGGGCAGGGAAGCTGTCAACGACGTCCCTGAAAGGCAGTTAACACGTAGAGCTGGAGAAGGAAAAGAAAGAGGCGTATCCCCTGTACATTGGTCTAACCACATCCTTATGTAAAGCTAGTACTGATTCGCCGTTTGTCAGAATACGGAGACGGTGGGCGATCCACCAGAAGGGCAAGCAACCCGTACTCGGCCAAGGGGAAGAGGTAATTCGAAGGCACGTTCGACAATATCAGCTCAGGGCAGGATCTTGATGAAATGCACCAGGGAACCAATGCGGACGCCCAAACGCGGACGACGGTGACGCGTTCCAGAAAGGGCAATTTACCTGGGGTTGAGGTCAGTAGCAGTTCGCGGATGAACGTGACATCCTAATTTATCCATCAGAGTACGGGCGATCCGCCGGAAGCGCGAGCAACTCGCACAGGACAAGGAGAAAGGAGTGCTTCAAAGGTCAGTAGCAGTTCGCGGATGAACGTAACATCCTAATTTATCCATCAGAGTACGGGCGATCCGCCGGAAGCACGAGCAACTCGCACACGACAAGGAGAAAAGAGTGCTTCAAAGGTATGTTCTTGTCCACAAGATAGACATTGGGAACGATCATCTTGATGAAATACTTCAGGGAACCGATGGGCACGTCCCAACACGGACGAGGGCTACGCGTTCCGTAAAGGGCGGTTTACCTAGCATTGAGGTCAGTCGCAAATCGTGAATGGATGGGATATCCTGACTGATCGGACTTATTGTACATCAGAGTGCAGACAATCCGCCGGAAGCGCGAGCAACTCGCGCGCAACGAGGAGGAAGGAGTACATCATCGAAGGCATGTCATTCTTTCCCCTGATATCGACGTAGGGTACGATCCTAATGCAATGCGCCAGGACACTGATGCGCACGCTCAGAAGCGTATGAGGGCAACCCGTTTTGGCAAGGGCAACTTACCAGGTGTCGAGGTCAGTCGTAATTCATGGATGGATCGGATGAGCATTGAGTGTTGTTTTTTAGGAGGACGAGGAGTCAGATTTTAGTGGTGATCCTGCGGTACATGTGCCAAATGATCCTGCAAAGCGCAAGAGAAATGACCGCAATGTACGAAAACTAGCAGTTCACCTCTTGTTTCAGTCGTAATCGCTAATTCTTCCCTTGCATATCAGGACAAGGATTTGGCGAATACACGACAAAAGCGGCAGAACCTCACGCCAGTCAGTTCCTTCGGCCGCTTCCCCCTTATCTTAAGCTGACCGTGCTGCAAGGAGCAACACATTGATCGCCCTCGCCCTCAGAGCAAAGGATTGGTGCGGCTTTCATCAAATGAACCTCTACATGTGCCTGATGCACTACCTGCGCTAGAACGCAGCTGTTGTGCAACCAATCCAATCGCCCGAAGACGCGGACGACCTGCCGAGGTTGAGCGGAGTGGACACGAACGTGGGCAACGCGGACGTCTTTGCCCCCCGATCTTCCCCTCAGGTGTGTTGCTCATCCTCAAGCTCCGTCTCGTGATGTATAGCTGACGCGCAATGGCAGCAGCCGCCTCCCTCCGCCACGAGCCCGAGAGAAGACGCGGACGACCTGCCGAGGTTGAGCGGAGTGGACACGAACGTGGGCAGCGCGGACGTCTTTGCCCCCCGATCTTCCCCTCCGGTGTGTTGCTCACCCTCCAGCTCCGTCCCGTGATGTATAGCTGACGCGCAATGGCAGCAGCCGCCTCTCTCCTCCACGAGCCCGAGAGAAGACGCGGACGACCTGCCGAGGTTGAGCGGAGTGGACACGAACGTGGGCAACGCGGACG